GAGGAAAAAGTTAAGAGGTTGAAGCCCCTGTTTTTTTGCATAATAAAAGGGAAAATGAAATAGGGCAGAGCCTATGCAAAAGAAAAAGGACTAAAATGACGCAAAAAACAAAAAAAAGAGGAAAATGCAACAGGGTGGAGCCCTTGTTTTCATTGCAAAAAAACCATGCAAAAACAGAATGAATTTTGCATCAAAAGAAGAAGAAGAAGAAGAAGTGGGGCAGAGCCCCTGTTTTGCATCAAAAGAAGAAGAAGAACCCTTACCTTCATGCAAATAAGGAGAGGAGGGTTGGAGCTTCAATGCAGGAGGGTTTCAACTCTTCCAGTCTCCCACCCAAGAATTTCCTTCGTTAGTAAGCCTCTTTCACTCTTTCAATTGATTAAAGAGGCTATTTAAGTTATAAAAAAGAAAATGACAATAGTGCCCCTTGATGTAAATGTGTAGCTTTTAAAAAGTGAAGGACTAAATTGTCTTTTTTCCAAATTATGTTTCTGGTTCTAATTGTTAAAATTGGTTCTGAATCACGATTTACAATTTGATACAATGATTTGAACATAAATCACACAATTAATTTAAAAAATGATTAGTACATGCGATTGAATCGTTTTGGGGTCGCTTTGTTATGAATCGTACTATTCAAATCATGGACTGCACGATTTTAAAAACATGTACAGGAGTCATAACATTTAAGGCCAATAAAAACTTTTACCACCAATTCCAATTCTTTGGAAACTCATGATCCTGATAGGGTGATTTGTTACTAGTTGTGTGGTTGGAGATGAGCTTTTGGTGGCAGAGGATGTTAGAAGAGCTATTTTATTAGGTAAAAATGAAGTTCAGAGTTCTGGAAAGCTTTTCTCTTTCAAAGAAAGAGTTACCAGACTTGTCCAATTGAAGAAAATTTAAGTGAGACTGAAGATGAAGAAAAGTAAAGTGGAAGAGGGATTGGGGAAGAGGAGGAACAAGAAATTAAAAAGAAAAGGAGCAAGAAGTTGATTTTGAAGAGCAAGATGGGGAAGATAGAATTCCTTTAGAATGAATTTATAAATTAAATAGGAAAATTTATTTGAAGAAGGTAGTTCATACTTCATACAAAAGCTGAAGTAGATAAACTTTTGGATCTGTTTTAGCAATCGAAAAAAAAAAAAAAAAGAAAAGAAAAGAAAAGTTTGAATCCTGTTTTTTGGGTTGGGATGATTTTGCTAGAAGTTTTTCAATGGAAGAGAAAGGCAGAATTATGAGAAGCACATAGATAAGACTGGAGCATAAATAGGGATGGTGACTCTCATCCTATGAAAGGTAAGTTAGATATAGATTCAGGGTTTGAGGATGCTAATGAATTTGTTGTTATTGGAGGTAGAGTAGGTAGGTTGATAGAGGGAGTGAAGCTGAGTGGGGTAAGTATAGTAATTAGAATAAGGAAAAATGGAGGAGGTAAGAAGATAAGGGATTTAATGAAGGGGGACAGATGAAACTGATAAAAGCTTGTTTTGAATTTATTTTATCCTTTAAGATAAGTACTGACTGAATTTCATTCTAATGTAACATTATCAGAGACGGCCAATGCAACATTTTTAGTCCAGTGCACTAGGCGCCCACCAATGTGGGGTCTGGGGAGGGATAGATGTAAGCAGTCTTAACCCTGCATATACAGGGAGGCTGTTTCCAAGAAATGTAACATTCTTAGTTCTTATTCCCAAATTGCAAGGAGCAGTTGAGTTGACGCATCAGTCTAATCAGTAGCATTTATAAGATAATAGCTAACCTATTGGAAATCAGTTGAGAAAAGTCCTTAACCAAATCATCTCACCTTCACAAGGGGTATTCATTGAAGGGAATAATTGATGGATCCTTGATAGCCAATGAATGCACTGACTTTAGATTAAGAGCTGGTCAGCCTGGTGTGATGGTGAAATTGGACATGGAAAAGGCCAATGACCATGTCCAATGGAATTTTGTTGACTACATGCTCAAAAGAGTGGGTTTTGGTATCGAATGGAGAAGGTGGATTGAATTTGCATCCACCCTACCACTAAATTAGAATCACCTTCCATTTCTCTTTGCTGAAGTCCCAACTGTTTGGCCAATTTCAGCCCATAGAGGAGGGCCATGGTTTCTGCTCTCAAAGAGTCTCCCACCCTTATTGGACCTGAGTAAAGAGCCAAAACCCTTCCTTCTTCATCTCTAAAGACTCCAACAATACCAGATGGTCCTGGGTTTCCAAAAGAGTTCCCATCAAAGTTAAGCTTAATTCTTTGAATTGCTGAAGGGACCTAACTTTCCTGAATCACATCCTTGATAGAAGAAGAGTTAGCTACTAAATACTATCCCCTAACTATATCTTGCACGGAAAAATCCTTGAACAACTTGATTTATCAAAAAAAAAACCTTGAACAATTTGCTTGTTTTACCTAGTGTGCTACTTTGAAGGCAATGTCTTCTATTAGTTCCTCAGATTTTATTGAACCTTGAAAAATATGATTGTTCTTTTCTTCCCAAACTATCCACAAGATTGCTTCACTAGTGGCTCTCCACAAAAACGTTCCTCTCTTCTTTGGTTGTCTAAGAAAGCTAGCATCAAACAGAGCTGCCATAGAAAGAGGAGACTGCCTACAACCAAAGAGAGAGGAAAACTATGCCCAAATACTAAAAACAAATGAATAGGAGATTAGTGTGTTATTGTCTCACCACAGTTATTGACTTATTGCTAAGGATACAGATGTGAGGAGAAAAGCACCAAGATGGCCTTCTTTTCTGAAGCATATCACAAGTGTTAATCCTATGCTGCTTCCCAGTAAAAATCCCTGATCTTAGGAGGCACTGGATTACACCACACTTCTTTATTTGGAAAGGACAAAGCCTGACTAGAGGAGCTGAGAAGGGCAGTGGAGAAAGAAGCACAAGAGATGGAGCTAGAAGGGCAGGCCATCCAGATCCTGCTCTCTGGACAAGATTGGTCCAAGATTACTCAGAAGAGAGAATTCATCAATGGCCCCCATTTCAACTTCCCTAAGCCCTCTCCTTGGACCCAAGTCCCACAACACCCCACCACTACGGATGAAAGAAATGGGTGTTAACTTATGTAAAGACAGAGTAGAGTAAAGAGAAGGAAAATGATCCTTAAGGGGGGATTCCCCAAGCCAAAAATCTTCCCAGAAGAGGACTTTATTATCAGAACAAGCATTATACCTTATAAACAGAATGGAGGGTAAAGTGCCAAGGATAGCTTCCCAAAAAGAAGAGTGTGATGCCCTAGGGTCGAGTATAGTGTCCCAGCCATTTGCCACCAAGCCATGAATGCTGACTATCACCTCATGCCAAAGCTCTGGTTCAAGGGGTTTCATACGGAGAGTTGTTCTTTATCATAAGGGGTGCGTTTATCATGTTTCAAGTGGTTCCTTTCATTCATTAATAAACATTCAAAATTTTTTTGAAGTCTGTCTGTCAAAATATCAAGTTATTACTGGAAACCAACATCTCGTATGCCTTATAAAGTTGGAAATAAAGAAGGCAGGAGGTGGTTATTTCTTGATGATGAGACGTAATTTTATATTTTATGTAGGCCAGGTGGTAATGTTTGTTGCAGTAGTAGGGCTTATTTGAAATGGAGGTTGAGCAACAATTATTGATAATTGATGCTTAATAGCAATTGGATGGATTGCATGGATTTAGCTTACAATTCACTGTTTCCAACTTATTGTTGGAGTCCTAAATCCTGATTAAGAGCTGAGCAGTGACAAGGTTACAAGTGTATGATTTACTGGATGTATTTAATGTCTTCTTGGCTTGTGTGGTATTAGTCCATGTGTACTGGTAGCTTTTTTTTTATTCCCCATGATATTCGGAACGTCTATAACTATCATATTCCCCTTTGAGCATTCTTTCTTCTTTTGTCATCATTTATACCAAATCCTACTGGCTCATCTGAGTTTTATCAATCAGTTACTGTGGGTCTTCCTGGAGGATTATAGATTGTTTGGAGCTCAAGTCTTCATCACAGACTCACAGTGCACCTTCATACTTTAGGAGTCCATTTGATTAACATCAGATTTGCTATTTTCTTCTCTTCCCTCCACCCCCTCCTTCTGAAGGTAAACACATTGGCAGAACCAAATATCTTGCTGCTTTCTCTTTCAGTGGGTAAGATAGTTAAAAATAGAATATTGGAGTGTATGGTAAATAACCAAACTTCATTTTCAGCCATTAAGGAGCTCACAACCTCCTCATTAAATTAATCACTAAAAGACAAAGCAATAGGTCGTTCAGTTCAGTCCAGTCCTTTCAGTTGTTGTCAAGTGGCCTCCAAGTCATTCTTTATTGGCTGATATTATGCAATTACTGATAATAATATAGTTATTTATTATATTTTTCATTTTAAGAACTTTTTACATGCAAACTCTTAGATGCTAGCTTTTTCAGAACTCTTTGCGTTAAATTCCTATTTTTTATTTTTTAAAACAATACTTATTTGGATCAATGGGTTTCCCATTGTTCAATTACATAGTGCCCTGTGCAGAAAATTGATAATCGTGGTTTTAACCATTTTATACTTTATACCACATTACTACATTCATAGATTGTCATGGAGTGAATTGTCATGAAGTGAATAGCCATCACATCCAAAATCATGGGTAGTCCGAAGGAGATTGAATCCATTGTTGTTGTTTCTTTGTGAATGCTAATTTTCCACAAAGAAGTAGCATCTTAGTGCAGTATGAAATTCATATTTCACCTACCCCTCTGGTAGATCTGGATCAACCAAAAACTTGGCCTGGTTGAATGAATTTTATCCCAACCCTAATAGATTTAATCAACAGCTAGGAAAAAAAATATATATGGTGAAATTCCCAAATGGACCACTAAATTTTGTTCTCTGGCATTGTTCAGTGAGCCAAAAGCAGCTTGCCTGCATGGCATGCAGGAGGGATGTGTTAGAATGAATTAAAACTTAGTACTCTCCCTTAGCTCCAGTTTGAGATTTATGCCTTAAAATTTTGCAGGTTCAGCATCTGCTATTCTAAGTCGCAAGTTTGTGGAGTTCTGTATCTTGGGTTCAGACAATCTACCAAGGGTTCTACTCATGTTCTTCTCAAATATGCCTTCATCACTTGCCAGCTACTTCCAAACCGTACTGTGTAACTCTCAGGAGTTCAAAAAGACAACAGTCAACCACAACCTGCAATATGTGTCATGGGATAAGCCCCCCAGACAGGAGCCATGCATTCTTACTCTTAATGACTTTGATGAGATGATTCACAGTGGAGCAGCCTTTGGTAGTCAATTCCTCCAAAATGATCCAGTTCTTGACCGCATCGATGAAGAGATCTTGAACCGTACTGCTGGTAAGATCATCCCTGGAGGTTGGTGTATAAGTGACTCCAATAATGATCCATGTACAGTTTGGGGAGACACAGCTGTGCTCAGGCCTGGTCCAGGGGCCAAAAGACTTGAAAAACGAATTGTTGAATTGCTCTCAAATGGTACATTACATGTTAATCAATGTTCTGAAACCCTGACCGAGGAGGATAGTCAGACTGCCCAGAATGTCACCTCGGACCAAAACTCGGTTGACTGAATAGGCAGTTGTTTTAATAAAGGATTAACCAATACTTCAAAATGTCTGAAAATTAGCGTTTTTTCCTCGGTTTATAATATTTTTACTTTATAATTATAGGGTTTTTCCTTCTTTTGTCTTTCCTATTCATACAGTTGGGTGGTTGGGTTGGGCGGTCAGATTATGATCCACATGCTTTAGCAGGTCAACATTGGTTCCAATTAATGCACACTTGAGCGTCTGTCAATTCTTTATCTAACTAAAATGTATTGATCATCTTATGAAACCTGACATTGTTATCAAATGGACTAGAAAATGAACCACTTACGTTAACCCAAAATTTGTGTGAATGAACTCTCTGCACAGCAACTCAACAAATTTAGTACTAAGGGGACTTTCTTTTTTTGGATTTTGAGAGGGGAAAAAGTTGGTCAGTGGGATTTTGGTTCCCATTGAGTAAGAATCCCATGTTCTGTTTTTCAGATTTATAGGGGGACAATGGAACGTTTATTTTCCAAGGTATCACTTAATATCTTAAGTGAATAAATAACTTTCCCATATCAATTAATAGGATTCAAAAAGTGGATAGTTTCACTCTTAAACATTCTCAATAGATAGTTATTTATTAGTTTAACACATGTTTATCCACAGTCTATTAATTATAAATTTGATTTAACTTTTAGGAAGCAACTTAATATAAATTTTAAAAATAAATAACTCAAAATAGATTTATTAGATGAATAGTAAATACCAAATAAAGTGGGTTATTGTTTACCAATAAGATCTCATTTAATATCTAATATTAAATTAAAAAAATCATAAATTAATAATGGGTTTTAAATAAAATAGGTTAGAATAGATTGTCAATTACAAAGATGCAAGACCCAAATTAATTTTTTTCATTTAATTTTTGATAACTAATTATACACACATTTAGTTACCCCATACTTAGTACAGGGTCATTCTCTAGTTTATATATGAAAACGGAATGGTCTGATGTGACATTCATCATTTTTTCTCTTTTTTTATTTTCTCTTCTTTTTTTATAGCGAATGAGAAACAGAGAAGTTTAGAATTCTAAAACGTCTCCGCTGTAGTTGTTGGCATTTAAACCCTTTGAATCGTTTCGAAACACCTTTTGCTAATACTTCAAGTGATGATGAAATAGCAAATAGCAACGTCAAATCACCTAAAATCTGAAATTCATTTTGAAACTAACATATCCACTTGCAACAATGATATATCCAACTTCTTCATAGCAATAGGGGTGGATTTGAGTCGAGTTGAGTCAAATATTTAATTATTCGAGCTCAGCTTGCTAAAATTGTATTAGGCTCGAGTTTAAGCTCAAGTCTTGAGCTTGACTCGGTTCAAAGCTCGCAAGTTTGAGTTTGTCTTGGCTCAAACTTAACCGTAAGCCAATTTTTTTTCTAAAAAATAAAAATTATATATATAAAAATATTTTTTATTTCATATATAAAAAATTAAGAATTATAAAAATTATTTATCACTATACATATAAAAAATATTTTTATTTTACATACACAAAATAAGGATTATAAAAATTATTTACTATTATACATAAAAAATAAAAATATTATTATATATATAATAAAAATGATTTATTATATATATTTATATGTATATGTAAGTATGTATATAATAAAAAATTATTTATTTATTATAATAGGCTCGATTAGGCTCGCGAGCCTAATGAGCCGAGTTTCACTACGCTTGAGCTCAACTTGATTAGCAAACAAGCCTATATATCAGGCTCGAGTTTGGCTCGGAGCTTGGTTTAAACTAAGCTGAGCCAAGCTCGAACAACTCGTGAGAAGCTCAGCTCGTAGTCACCCCTACATAGCAACTGACTTTCTAGCACATAGAATACCCTAATATATAGTCTCATACCCATTTTTTTCAATCAATTTAGCGTCACTAAGGTTGCATTTGGCATTATTTATTTTAAGGACTTATCTCCTTTTTGTAGTTAAAATGCCCTTATGAACACTGAAGTTATAACGGCAAAAAGGAGATAAGTCCTTAAAATCAAGAATGCCAAACGCAACCTAAATCAATTTGTGATCAACTGAATCTCTCACTCTCAGAAGTTAAACCTCGGCAGCTTCAGCGGAGTGCCAAAATTGAAAGGGGTGGTGCCAGAGTGGGGTCAGCGGTACCGGAGATGAGAAAGAAAGATGATGAGACTAATGAAGAACAAAGCAAAAACTGAGATGATATCAAGAAACATAACCTGGGCCTTGAGTTTCGAGATGGAGTATCGTTGTTTGTTTTTGGATCTTTAAGGTTTTGAGATGGAGTATCGTTGTTTCTAGATTTGATTCTATCCGATCCAGTCCAATGTGAGTCCAATACAAATGGATCAAGTGTTAACCTATTTGAGTTGAAATAAAAAGAGATCTCATTTTTTGGCAACTTTAAATTTTCTATTCCATTTTTATAATTAATTCTAAAAGTAATTCTTGTTTATCGTACTTAGCTTCGTTTAATACGATAAATTTATTATATGTTAAATAGTTAGTTTTTCCACAAATTTTATGTATTTTGAAGTTTTGAAATTTTTATATTGTTTTATTTTTTATTATTAATTATGGCACCATTGGTTGATCCATTTTACCCAAACGATTGGACCATTATGGTGCAAGTCAAGTTGGTTGGGCTAAATTTAAACTCGACCTATGCCCAACCCTATGTATTGGGCCTAAGGCTCGAGACCAAGGTTAAGCTCGACCTGTTACATTTGGGTTAGGCTTAGACTTGGATTTGTAAATCAGTCTCACAACAAAATTTGATATAATTATATGTATATAGTTAGGCTTGACTTGGGCTACCTAAGGGTTAGGCTTAAGCCCAACACGAAAAGTATAAAAAGCCCAAACTTTTGAGCCTAAGTGAAATCCAAGCTAGCCTATCTAAAGTTGTGAGCCGGGGTCAATCGGGCTCAAGTTAAGTCCACCCAATTTGCATCTCTATGGGCCATTGACCACCAATTAAATGCAAAAGTGATTGAAGTTTACTTTTTTATTCTATTTCTATCATTAACAAAAATAATTCTTAGTTATTACACTTTTTTTTTTGTTTAATATGATGAATAGATAATATTAGAGAAGCACTTAATTGTGTTTTACAAAATTTCTATATGTTTAATAATTTTTTGTGTATTTATTTTTTTAATTTTTATTATTTAATCATGACAACATGGGTTGACCTATTTGACTTAAAAGGTTGAACCATATACAATTTGAATTTGAAATATTTGATTTTTGGGTTAGTTTTAAATCTTATATTCCATTTCCATCACTAATAAAAACACTTCTTATTTGTCATACTTAATTGTTGTTTAATTCAATAAATATATAATACTAGAGATGTGGTTGGTTGTCTAGAAAATTGAACCACACTGGCTAGTTGGGCCGATTGAACCACGACTTGGGCCCCTAGTTGGTTCAGTCATACCCCAAATCGGATTGGATAAAAAACTGACTACCAACCTGGATGGTCGAACTGGAAAACTGATGAACTAATCCCACTTTTAGAAAACTAGCTAGTTTTTTGAAATTTTTTAGCATATAAATGCATAATGTTGTGCTTGGATGTGCAATTGGAGGGATCGTTTTTTTTTTATGTTGGGTAACTTTTCAAGATCTACTTGTTCTTGAGGGAATGAAGGCACCTTGTCCCACTAAGTTTTTTAAAAATGCCTTTTTTGGACTCCAATTTTAATTTTTAATATAAAAATTGAAACTAAAATGTAGGAATATATGTTCTAGAAGAATATAATTATATAATTTGAATATACTATAATCTAATATATAATTTATAATTATTTCATACATACATACATGGTTTGACCTCTAGTTTGACCTATAGTTCGATCCCAGTTGAACACTTGACCCATGAACCTCTCTCCCTTTTTTGCATCTATGCCTGGTCTGTTTTTTTTAACATTGGTTGAACTACTTACCCGCCACCAAGACAAAAGGGTGGTTTATTTTTCCTTTTGGGTTTGAACATAGGTTTTATATCATTAAAAATATTAAATATAGCTTTAATTAGTAGAATTTTTTTGTGATAAAAAATATTTTAAATAAAATATCTAAGGAGAGAGAATGAGAGTTAACACCTTAATGAGAGGGAATTAAATGAAGTGGAAAGTAATAGTACTTCAAATTAAATTGCCCACTCACAAAGTTAGAATGATACCAATTTATTAGGAGGGACGTTTTACTCAATAAAAGTCCACAAAGATCATCTATTTAATGCACCTTAAATATTGGATTTAATGAGAGGAAATAAGAGTTAATACCATAAATATAGGGTTCAATGAGAGAGAATAGAAAGAATTAATAAAAGTAGTAATTCAAATTATGTTTTTGACCTCATAATAAAAATTAATCAAATTAAAAAATAAAGGTATTTTAGTCAAAAAAATCCAAAATCTACACCTCATTGACACTTCGTATAGATGGATATAGATGTATTTGTTTGTCGTGCAAATCTGAGTCAGATACCAATATTGCACCTAGTTCAGTTTTGCATCTGTTCATTTCTAACTGTGATTTGCACTCTTGCCTGATTTTTGTCACATTTGCACTCATTGACAGTGCAAATTTTACATCTCAAAAAATTATGCATGATTTACACCACCTTCCTCCTACATCAATTCTCTCTCAGAAAAGTATATGATGCTGGAAAGATATTGATGTAGGGTGATTTGGCCCGAACTCGTAGTACGGGGACATGTGTATATGACCTGGCATAAGTGACAACTCAGAGCGACAGCCTGGCCACAACTAGGCGTAGCGAGCTCGCCGAGGCCCGACCAGACGACTCGGCGGGTGTGACAGCTCGCCGAGAAGCAAGGCCCAGCTCGCCCCGAGCCTGAGGGTGGAGCACCCCGAGCTCTCCCTTCCTAAGAAGGGAGCACCCCAGCTTTTGGCTAAGTGTCCTGAGGGAGAAACACCTCGGGACAGCACCGTCGAGACTCCTGTTCATACTTGCTTAAGGCTAACCTCCAGTGTGAGCACCCTGGCGTACCTCGGCACCTCGGTGCAAGGCAAACCTGCCCCAAGTGGTTCAGTGTATAGTAGCTCGGCAGACTGCAGGGGAGATCTGCCTGACATCCATACCTGCCGGATCCGGTGGCAGTGCCCGCATCCCTTGCCGGGCGGTGTTCTGCCTACCGTCTCTGAAAAGCATGGCACGCCTGACGAGTCCGTA